ATTTTTACTCATAATTACACTTCTAGTATCTTATAACATAAAATTACATAATACTAAAGGACAACAAGGGACCTTCATGATCTCAATCAAGAAACATCTCAATGTTTTCGCCTTTCCAAAAGCCCTCCGGTGGCTCAGTGGTAAGTTTGAGGGCTAAATAATCGGTTTCGATACCTGCAGTGAGCAGATCTTTGACAAGCCTAAGTTGTAGCTTTGCGCTTAAAAACAAACAAGGCCTTTCTAAAATATTTGACATAAGTTTTATGACGACGTGACAACACTGTACAATTATAAAATAAGAGTTGTCATTCTTAAAACGAGCTATAGATTTTCACTTTTTTTTTAGTCGTTTGCTGCCTCTTTTTCTTGTATAGAACATTCTTAGAAATAACAGTCGTGAGTAAAAGTTTATTTGTATTTTCTTATGGAAGATTTATTTCTAAATTGAACGAGTAGGTTAGTCTCACAATAGAAACTTACGCATGGGAGCGCTACAAAATTTATGAAAGTCCAGGATGCAACAGATGTTATTATTGATTTGTATCACTAATGAATAATAACAATTTGGTGTCTACCAAAAAATATAACGGCTGAAAGGTGTCTGTGAAAACCATGAACTTTCATATTTTTTATCTACTCTCACATTTTAGGTTTAGGACAACTTCCTGGGTTTGTCAAAATTTATAACCTGCCAATTCACTTCAAGTCACATAATAGATAAGCACGGTGATCGAAGAAAAGAGGGCGCTACAAGTTCCAACTCAACTGTTGTACGTGATGGTTTCTTTTTTTTTTTTCCGCCTGCGTCTAATATATGAATAGCCACGTCAGACTTCCTGGACAGAACGTATTATTAAGGGGTACTGCTAATCCTTAGGCTACGGCGCTGTAAGTGAAGTAGAGTTTAAAAGTGTAGGTAGGGGGGTGGGGTGGATCTACTCTTTGTACACTCTGAAGTTCAACACTTCGTATTATGCGGAATAAAAAATAGTCAATTATTTGTAAGTTGTAAAGAGGAAAAGAAATGGATAAAGGGTTTGTAATATTACATACTTACAAACAACACTAAAATGTTTTTAATTTAAAAACAAATATATTAGTTACGAATTACGTCTAATCGATTTAAAACTATCGAGGCAGGTTCAATCCCCAGTAGGCCTAACTTAAAAACACATTGTTTTAAGCATAAAATTTACAGTCATATCCAGAATTTGTAACACTTTGAAAAAGGACTTGTACTGCTTTGAAATTGATGAGTTAGCAAAAGCTTAAGAATACAAAGTTAATTTCAGTAACAGACATGGAACTCTTTACATTTCGATAAATATTTGGGTAAATTTTTGAACGAATATTTGTTGACATATATGTATTACTGCTAGCCACTACTATCCGCTTAACCATTAGTTCATTAGTCTTAGCACAGATTATTATACAAGCTGCTTCGTCTGTACGTCTTTACGTAGAATTAGAGTCTTTAAGGTTCTGAGATTATGGTATGGCTTGTTCAGCTCAATATGACTGGCTAAAGTAACAGTATACTGCCGTAGACAGAAAATATTCTCGTTATATTTATCAAAGTGTAAAATACAGTTAATTATATATATATATTATTTATTTAAGGCCGTACCCCATGGGACGGTCAATGCGAATTTTATTTGTATATAATGTTGACCAGGGAATATTTCATTTTTTTTTTACAAGCAAATACGTTACCTCTTGAATATACATAAAAAATTACGTTTTAGCGAATCGACGTTTGTTCCATTAAAATACGCGTGAAGCTGTAATAGTGTTCACTGACGACAGTTAATAAAGGTAAATCAGGAATGTCCTTGTTTAGAAAGGTCCTATCGCTCGCGTGGTGAGAGTAATCAATCATGTCAGATTCCAGGACATCCAGAAACAGCGAATTAGAAAACACTTTTGTTTAATTATGAACTCTGCCCAAAAAAAGTCAGCATTGAAGTTTCATAGTGTTGGAAAATTGGAAAATGTTTTTTTTTTTTCAAATAAAAAAGCAACATATGACCATATACTATATAAAAGTTTCGTGTAAGATTCTGTTTAGTCCACAGCCTTGACGAACCTTCGTGGAGGGGGGGGGGGGCAAGATCGTGTACATCAGAAGCATTATCTAGTTTACTTGTTTTTCTAATGAGGAATACGCGGATATATTACAAAAGTGTTATATTTTAAGAAGTTTCAAATAATAAACCAAATAACTCGCCCTCCAGTGGCACAGCGGTATGTCTATGGACTTACACCGCTAGAAACCGGGTTTCGATACCCGTGGTGGGCAGAGTACAGATAGCCCATTGTGTAGCTTTTTGCTTAACTTCAAACAAACAAACCAAATAGCTGATACTGTCGCCCACTAGAGTTAGGGTAGACGAGCCTAGTTATGTCTGACCTCTTTACCTTCCCAAACAAAAGGAATTTCACCTAACTTAAGACTCAACATCACGATTGCCATCGGAATTAGTAGTAACAGGCCTTTAAAGTTCATTAGAAAAAAAAAAAATCAAGTTAGCGCTTATTCCAGTGGAGCATTTATCGGCCACGAGACAGAAAATAATTTCTTAGAACATTAGGCATTATTACAAGATCTATTCGAAACATCATTAAAATTTGCTAAGTGTTTTTACATGTAGCAAGTAATGAATGACGTGATCCATATTATAAGAAAACTGAAAAGTTTGCTTACGAACGTTATTATTTTTGCTTGAAAGTAACCAATATTTACACTGATATTAACACATCTTTATTACTATATTTTCTCAGTTATTACGCGAGTGTTGGGCAGTGATCATAACACGCATGACTGTGTGAGAGCACCACGGATTTCTGATTTGTTCTTTAGAAAGGGGGGGGGGCTGTCTTGGTAAGCCTAAATTGCCGAGATAAATAACACGGGAGGAAACTCACTGAAGGAATTCGTGGAATAAGCGTGACTAGCATGCAACTTACAGGTTAGGATACGTTTATCACTAACCTTAATAAATACTGGATATTAGTTATTGTAAAGGAAAATGTCACAACATTGCCTGAAAGTGTTACGTCTCAAAGGTTTCAACTCAGTTTCGTTCAATCTTAATGTTTTTTTTTTTTACTGTCTGACACGAAATAAAGTAAACCCTGTTCAAGCCCCTTTCTGTGTAAGTCTAACGAGTTAATATATTTTAGAGGTTGTCTACTACTTTACAACGACCACTCCCTCACTTCCTGTGCGTGAGCTACAATTATATTTGTCTACGTTAAACCTAATACGAGGGCGAGTTTCACTTCAGAGCTGTAATTCTCAGCTCCGGATTAACCCTAGAAGTAAGACGAGGTCAGATGGATTTCATTAGACTTTTAACCGGATTAACCTAAGAAGTAACGATGAGGTTATATGGATCTTATCAGACTTTTGCCGGATTAACCCTAGAGGTAATGACGAAGTCAGATGGATTTCATTAGACTTTTAACCGGATTAACCTAAGAAGTAACGATGAGGTTATATGGATCTTATCAGACTTTCAACCGGATTAACCCAAGAAGTAACGATGAGGTCATATGGATCTTATCAGACTTTTGCCGGATTAACCCTAGAGGTAACGACGAAGTCAGATGGATTTCATTAGACTTTTAACCGGATTAACCCAAGAAGTAACAACGAGGTTATATGGATCTTATCAGACTTTCAACCGGATTAATCCAAGAAGAAACGATGAGGTCATATGGATCTTATCACACTTTTGCCGGATTAACCCTAGATGTAACGACGAGGTCATATGGATTTCAAACTTTTAACCGCATTAACGTTAGAAATAATGACGAGGCCACATGCCTCTCATCAGACTTTTAACCGGATTAACCCAAGAAGTAATGAAGAGATCAAGTGGATCTCATCAGATTTTTAACCGGATTAACCCAAGAAGTAACAACGAGGTCATATGGATCTAATCAGATTTTTAAAACACATTTTTCTAAATTATTTATGCACAAAATTACTTGTTCGTCCATGATTTTGTTGGTTACGAGGATCCTAATACACACACACACACACAAAATTAAACAAATATACTGTACATATTGTAATTAATCCCGCTAATTATTGCTGTCCCCCCCCCCCAATAAAAAATCCGTTAATTCTTTACAGGCAAAAATAAAATTAGTCAATAGTGATACAATATGTTAAACCCACCAGTATGGAACAGTATGAAAACAAGTTGGTAATTTAAGTGTTAAGAAAGTCTCAAGACGTACACACACTAACAACAAACAAATAATAAGCGTGTATATTCAACCCACTTTTTGAACAGTTTGCATAATCAATTGCCTATGGTGAAAGGATTTATTATAATACTGAATTTAGCGACAGTAGCGGTATCTGTTCAAAGCGAGATGTCAGAATTTTTATTGTACTTTGTTACAAAGGGAAGCACAGACCCAAAATGTCGGCCATGAAACGCGTATAACTCTTGTAAAAGTTAAGTTTAAACAGTCTATCGTAAGTTGTTATACTGTCCACGGACATTTAATAAACAACTAATGTATCACACGAATAAACATACCGTATATTAAAGTGGTTTTAGGATACAACAAATTCCTTGTTTGTTGCAAAGCTGAACTATTTGTGGTGTCCGCACTGCAAGGATCGAACTCAAATGTTTAGTGCTAGAAGTCCTATAACTAGAATGGTTAAACATTAAAAATATGTTAATACATTTAATTACGTTTTCCTTGGAAACCAAAAGCTGAGACTAGACGAGAAATTACTATTCTATGCAATAATATTACACTTTATTATTGACTTTCAGAGTGGTTTACATATTACTACACATTATTATTGACTTTCAGAGTGGTTGACGTAATATTACACATTATTATTGACTTTCAGAGTGGTTTACATATTACTACACATTATTATTGACTTTCAGAGTGGTTGACGTAATATTACACATTATTATTGACTTTCAGAGTGGTTTACATATTATTACACATTATTATTGACTTTCAGAGTGGTTTACATATTATTACACATTATTATTGACTTTCAGAGTGGTTTACATATTATTACACATTATTATTGACTTTCAGAGTGGTTTACATATTATTACACATTATTATTTACCTTCACTTATACGATTTTATATTTTCCAATAATATGAGATGTTGTATAACGTTCAGTAAAATAGTAATCACCAAAACTTTTGCCATTAATAACATGAAATCCTCAAGACACTAAGAATATTTTGTTCTGATTAGATATCCAGAATACTAAGCGTTACAGCCTCACTGGTGGAATTGGAATACGACAATGTAACCACTAGAGGGCAGTTTCTTACATCACACATAATTTTGGTTTGTTGTTAAAGTGTATAAGCACAGAGCAACACAATGGGCTATCTGCGTTCTGTCTATAACAGGTATCTAGACCAGATTTAACATTATGAACCCTTAGAGTTACTGCTAAGAGACTGGGAAGAAGCACCACGTGATATAAATCTCATTTCAACAGCAATGAAATAAATTAAGTCTAAAAGGAATGTTCATGGAAGTATATAACTGATATTTAGGCCTATCTATGGCCTTCAAAAAACTGACGACTCTACTACATGTTTCGACGTTACAACGCCATCCTCAGGAGTCGTTGTAACATGTAGAGTCGTCAGTTTTTTGAAGGCCATAGATAGGCCTAAATAAAATGTTTTTAATTGTGTACCAGTTCAACGTTGAATATTATTTATGATATAACTGATGTCGCTAGTGGGAG